GAGAGAGAGAGAGAGAGAGAGAGAGAGAGAGAGAGAGAGAGAGAGAGAGAGAGAGAGAGAGAGAGAGAGAGAGCTCAGAAGAGCATCTGACCACAGAGAACTGAAAAGTACGGCGCTGCTGGGGAAGCGAAGGAAATAATGAACAAACAATTTTCAGCAGTTGCGCTGGCTCTTCTTTATTTCCTTCATATCGACAGAATAGGTGGGCATCATCTTGCAAGAAATCGATCAACGGCCATTCACAGGGTCAAGAGAGAGATTTCTCCACTTCTGTGTGCTAGCTCGTTGGCAAATTAGAAAGAGACACACCTGCAATGCCGAAGGAGTGGGAGAAATCTCCATTCCTCCACCTTTTTTGTGGTGACTTACGAACAATCATAGAAAGAACGGCTGATAAACGAGTAGTAGAAACATCCATATGCACCGTTGGGATGGAGTCAACTCACCATGATGATAATGAACGGTCGACATACACAGCGACTGGAGGTAAGACGCTAATGTTCTTTCCTAGGCCGTTTTCGAAAGAAATAAGAAGATGCGAAATTGAATTGCCAAGCAATACAATGACCAAGTGAAAATACATCATCAAGGCAAACTTTCCCCGCTTCAGAATCGGGAGAGCCTGCATGGAAAGTAACAAGTCAAACAAGTGCACCCCCTGTTGAACAACAAAACAGGCTCTTCGTGATGCTCCGTCCCATCCACAGGAGGTATAGAAACAAAACAAGCTCTTAAATCAATGCTTTGAATTCTCCTCTGCCAAACAGAGACTCCCTCCCCTGCACAAATTCCTGCAAACACTCTGTCCAATTGCCACCTACAGCACTACCTCCACATGCACTACTCTCTCTCTCTCTCTCTCTCTCTCTCTCTCTCTCTCTCTCTCTCTCTCTCTCTCTCTCTCTCTCTCTCTCTCTCTCTCTCTCTCTCTTTGGCTGCATAAGAAAAGGTAAGGTGACGCCGGATGAAAGAGCTAAACCAGGTAAGGTACGAGTCCGTAATAAACTCCATACCAAACATAAGACACTACATGAATAGAACTGAAAAGCTACAGTGACATCTCATCTCCTTCATCATCAGAATCAATCGTCGGAGAGTCGTCTACGAGGTTTTCCATAGCATCAAGGAGAGGTTGACGGTTCGGGTTGTGGCGATGTTGGTAAATCAAGCGGCAGAGCTCATCACGGATGTGCTCCAAAACTTCGAGAACAAGACCCTCAGTCTTTTCCACGAGCGACTTCTTCATCTCTTGGAGCCTTGAATGAATGGCTGAGGAATCCTCATGCATGGGTTCCATCATCCCCGTTCCTTCTAACGACCCATCCCTCCTACATTCCGCCCCATGTCCCCTCTCTCTCTGATCAGGAGCAGCTGCAATGCCGCCTTCATCAGTCCATCCATCGCGTCGACTGAAAGCCAAATGAGACGTACCATCTCCTCGTCCTTCCTTTGCTTCTGCTCCACCATATCTGCTATATACTTTCCCATCAGCGCCATGGCCACCTCCTCCCGCAACGCCATCTCCTGATCCATGCCGCTCTCCACCTCTACCACCTGCTCTCCCTGCATGAACGCCTCCTGGAGAGTCTTCTCTCTCTGATGCTTTCACAGAACATGATGGTTGAGCAGGCTCCGACTGCCCCACCTCAGGTGGGTCTGTTCGCAGGTCAAATACTTCTTTGGCCTCTTCGACAACAGCTCGTTTCTTCCCTCCTGCCATAGAAACCAGCTCCTGTGATGCTGTGCATGCAGTTGACGAACCTGGTGCCTCCCCGTTCCGCTTTCGGATCCTTGTGAGTGCTTCAGAGGCCTCTTGGACGGCCAAGTTTGGTGGAACACCCCTCAGGCGAGCACTCGTTCGCAGCGCTGGACTAGGTGCTGCATTCCCACCAGAGCTCCCAGCCGACTGCCCCTTCCCTGCACCGCTGCCATTGCCATGTGGTTTGGTTTCTGCTGGGCAAGGGAACCGCACCGGGCCACCCTGCGCAGCGATTCTGTCACAGAATGCGACCAGCCCAGGGTCCATCTGTGAGATCATGCCATGAACCTGAGGCAAACAGGAGAGCGGGGCAAAGTACGCGCGCGTGCGCACACATACCAAAGAAAAACGACCAGCAGTCCACTTGAGATCTTAGTTTCAACTTTTAAATCGCTAGTCCATCAATTTACCCACAAAATTTGGCAAATGTCATGCATGTAGCACCAGGCAGACAGAGAACACCACAATTCCAGCCAAGCTGCAGTAAACAGCCGACCTGAAGCACCTGTCCAACATCCAGTGACCCATTCTTTCCACTGCCAACATGAACCACATACAAGAGTCAGAAGTCCCACAATGATAGGGCTTACGTACGACAGGGACGACCCGACCATCCTGCCGCTCTACAGGACCCTTCTTGTCCTTTTTTTGTGCTCTACAGTTCTCCTCACTCTCCGACAAACAACATACATACTGATTGGCAGACGTAGCGCTATGCTCTCATCAACCCAGTCTTGTAGCAGCAGGCAGACAGAGAACACCACAATTCCAGCCAAGCTGCAGTAAACAGCCGGCCTGAAGCACTTGTCCAACATCCGGTGACCCATTCTTTCCACTGCCAACATGAACCATTATGCACTGCTCTGTAAACTCTTATAGGCTAACGTATGACGAATTGGGGTTAGCTGGGTCCAAGTGGGACCAGGTTCATGAAAAAAATATATGTGTATGCTAACTCAGTGTGAACTATGGTTTGCATGGACCAGGTTTTCTGAACCTTATGCACAACAAGACTGGGTTTATGAGAACATAGTGCCACGTCTGCCAAACAGTATGCTGTTTGTCGGAGAGTGAGGTGTCCTGTAGAGCAAAAAAAAAAGACCATCCTACCGCTCTACAGGACCCTTCTTGTCTTTTTTTTTTGCTCTACAGGACACCTCACTCTCCGACAAACAGCATACTGTTTGGCAGACGTGGCACTATGTTCTCATAAACCCAGTCTTGTTGTGCATAAGGTTCAGAAAACCTGGTCCATGCAAACCATAGTTCACACTGAGTTAGCATACACATATATTTTTTTCATGAACCTGGTCCCACTTGGACCCAGCTAACCCCGATTCGTCATACGTTAGCCTATAAGAGTTTACAGAGCAGTGCAGCGGCTGATTCACTTCACCCTTGTGATGTTGAAGTAGGTGTTGGGACAAGAGTTAAAACTTTCACCTATGTCATTGTGTGCGAGCTGCATACGTTAGTATGAAGGCAGTTTATTTTTTTTACCTAGCTACCTATCTATTACACCCCTAGTACCTGCAAGCCCTGTCTGTCCTATTCCAGTTTGCGTGGAAGGCTGGAAGCTGTTTGAGCTTGGATTAAAGTGGCTATGTGACGACAAAACAAAAGAATGGCGTACAGTGGAAACGTCTGCTTGTTGTGAGGTTCCCCGAACTCTTTCCCATTACATGATTAATTCGCCATCATGTCGGGATTTTATTTATTTTATTATTTTTTTATTTTATTTTATTTTTTTTTAAAGAAAAGGCTGCTTGATGATAAACCAAGGAATGACGCCCATTAACCGGAAACCCAGATACGATGAACACAGTGCCCACCATGTGCATGTTGTCCAGAGTCCACAGGACAAAGTCGACGCAAAATGCAAACAACACCCTACCAAGGAAGAACAAAATGGATCGTGTTGCCAGGTCCGGTGGGCCATGGCCATTTCAGCCAGCGGCATTTACCCCCCAACCAGGTACACTTCTTTTGCCACCCTCGTATACCAGTGGGGGGTGTTAAACCACTATTGGCAAAATTGTGACGCTTTTTAACGAATTGCGTCAACTAACACTCGCTTCTTTTGAGCACGGCCCACTTATCCAAACCAAAAATATGTGCGGAGCAAAAAATGCCGCCAGCATTTTGGGTTTATAATACTTTATATTTGAAAACATATTTCTCGGAAGTACCTGCTTTCTTTAAATAGCACACAAAATCCAAAAAGTGGCTTCACTCGACATTTTGGGAACAGAAGACGCCTACTGTTAGCGCCCCTGAATGTTTTCAGATTTTCAGGGCAGAAACTCTGAAGAGTCTGAACCATACTCGCGGCGCACCGTGCGGTGCAGTGCGGTGCGTGTTGCATCGTACGCGGATTGCTGGTGGACGCGCACCGCGCGCACAGCTGCAGTGCGCTAGACTGCACAGCATGGCACCTCGTGCGAGCGCACAAGTGTTGCATCGTGTGTGGATTACACACACACACACACACACACACACACACACACACACACACACACACACAATATTTTTTGGGGGGTGCTGTCAAGTGCGGCCCCAAATGTTTTTTCCTTTTGTGAGGTTTTGCCAACCAGCATTTTTACAAGGGAAGGGGTGCTGGCGATTCAAACCACCTGTACTTTCCCAACCATTTTGTCCGGCCGCAGTGGTTAATGCACTGCATCCTCCGTCGGGGTCGAGATGGGTGGTGATGCCGGGCAAAAAAAAAAAAGACAAAAAGAAAAGAAGAACAAAACAGAACAAAAAGAAATGCCTGCACAGCTTCATTTTTCATTGGCACGCATCAGAAATGCACAATGGGAAAACGTACGCCTCCGAGGCACTACCGGTAGTGGTGAAGGGCCCTGAACCTGTGACCATTTCAGCCTGCAGCATTTACACCTGACCTGGTATCCGTTTTTCCAGGCCACCACTTTTTGCCCCAATCGGCTGCAGACTTACACAAGGGCTCTTTTTTTTCCCATCTTTCCTTTTCCCTCAATTTGACATTCAGAGCACCGGGCAGAAAGAAATCACATTGTGTCAACATCTGTTAGGGCCATCATAATGCGGTTTTTTTTCTCCCCCCTCCCCAAATCCCCGGTTGTTGTAGAGGCTAGATGCTATGTGTTAATATAAGCTTCCATAACCTTCAGCTCAAGTTCCTATTTGTAGCTTATGATCAGGGGTGGGCTGGCTACTGCCAACCCTCCTCCCTTTCCCCCTAATTCCAACTGGTGATATGACCATGGCTGGGCTGGCTGCTGTCAAAACCCTCCTCCCTTCCCCCTACCCCACCTTCTCGCACACTGTCCACATCTGCAAAACCCACACTAACGAATCAGCAGCCATGGGTATTCCCAGTGGGGCCCCACCACAGGTTCACATATCAGCTACAAAACGTCGGACAGAAACCATAATTTCCCCCTAATTCCAACTGGTGATATGACCATGGCTGAGCTGGATGCTGTCAAAACCCTCCTCCCTTCCCCCTACCCCACCTTCTCGCACACTGCCCACATCTGCAAAACCCACACTAACGAATCAGCAGCCATGGGTATTCCCAGTGGGACCCCACCACAGGTTCACATATCAGCTACAAAACATCGGACAGAAACCATAATTTCTAGAGCCAACTCAAAATGCTGCTGACTTGTGATTCCGATAGACCGAGGGCAAATTTACACTGGCAGTTCCGTAAATCTATCTGGCTGCAATTATGGACGGCCCTGAATGCATCTAACACTAATCACATCCAGAGCATAGTCCAAAAAGTCCTAGTGTGAGCAGACAGTAAAGATCCTTTTAGAAAAAGAGCTTTTGGTGCCGAGAGCGATAGGGATCCCTTCCTAAACCACCAGCACATGGGCCCAGGCAACTTCGAGAACAACAAGAGGCTCCCTCCAAAAGTTTCAGAGGCTTGAGGCAACCGGACCAAGATGGCTGGCCGTCGCCTGCCAAAATAAAAAGAAAAATGCAGCGCTGGCGTTTCAGCGAAGCTTGGCGCTCAGGAGGGACATAAGCCTCGTACAAAAGAGGCTCTGCAGGGACTTTAAGAAAAGGAGGTCTGCACTCTATAGTTGTGCCTTCATCAAAAGGGTCTGTGCTTGCAAGGAAACATAGTTACCGCGTCTCTGAGAGCGTGTGCCTTGCTCACAATTCGATTACCATGATAGTCATCTCCATTGTATGCCTGCATGAATCAAACAGGGACAACACGACGTTATTTCGTGCAATGAGAAAAGGAAGCCACAGCAAAATCCAGAGAAACGGACATCAAATTGTGGCAGACACACTCAGTGGCTAATAGTAAAGTGGCTTCATGTCGGAGCTACAGAAGTCAAAATGGGAAAATACGTACCAGATAGTCCTCGTGGATAGCCCACCCTGTACACAGTGATGAGTTTTTAAAACTTTTTTGAAAGGTTTTTCAACTTTTTTTTGTTTTGTTTGTTTGGGATGCACATGTTATGAACATGATTGTCTGTTGAAATTTTATCAACACTCACTCACAGGAACTCCCGTACACGCCCATACATGCACAGAAGGAAAGGGAGAGGTAGTGGAGTATCACACCGCCCAACAGAAAGAAACGCAGAGGAAGACTCAGAGGAGCGAAGTGACAGAACACACAAACTGTGAATTCTCTCCACACAGGTCCCAACAATCATTCATAGAAGACAACCGAGTGATC